CAACTAAAGTATCTCGCTCCAGAGAGCTTGTTTTTAATTTCTTTTAGTTCTATGGGGTCCAGAAGTCAGCATGATCAATATCTCATATCTTCATTAGTGCTCCATACATAAGCCCTAGAATGTTTTCACACATGAATGAATCCGACCTTTGGACTATTTGATCTAGGCATGTAATAATTCCACCTAGCTCTTCCCATGAAACAGCTCTGAATCATAGAATAATACAGGATAGAAAGGATCTCTGGATCCAACTCCCACTCAAAATACACGCTACAGAATTTCAAGGAGGACAAGGCTGGGGCAGCCTAGGAGAAATTAATATTTATATTCTCCCCTCACTACGGGTCATGCATTTCTTCCAGTTACCAGGATCTAGTCCACAGCCCAGAGTAATCTTTATGATCTATACACATGCAAGACATACTAAAATTTAATTTAGTAAAGTTAGGCATTGCAGTTTTGCTGTAGACATAGAGGCTGCATCTTGGCAACAACATGTTTCCTCTCAGTTAACAGACTATGACAGGAGGCTTTTATCCCACCTGTAAATACATTTACTAAGATACGGCATATTACCATCTTTACCCATGATCAGATTCACCTCTTCATCGTACCATTTCTTTCTCCTTTTATAGAAGGCTTAGTTACTAGCAGGCAGAGGTTTTTGTAAAGGGAAGTGCAATGACTTGCAAAACCCAGAACTTCCTTTGTGACTACCCAAGGACACAGTTCTGATTACAGTCAGACACTTTCTTTTAGCCATATATGGCAATTCCATAAAAGCCACAAGACAAATGAGGTAAGTAACTGCAAGGTTATAGCTGTCACAGCAGCCAATTAAATGCAGAGCTGAACAATACGTATATAAAAGGGCATCAGTGTGTAGGTTTGGATTATACCTTTTAAAGTCAAAGGACTTTCCTGCTGAGGTCACGCTACAGGATGATCAGTGGGCTGAGCCTACAACTAGTTTCATCAAATATCAACATTTTTGCAGGATTTCACTTGCTGTGACTGTAGATGGCTTGTAAAAATTAAGTCTACATCGAAATAGGAAACACAGAGCCTCATGGCATTAAAAAGAGGTACAATGACTTTTGTGTTCACTGGACCCTAAAACAATGAATAACGGTCTTTTATAATTTAACTCCACTCTTTTCAGGAGGTCACGTTTGACCTCTTTTGCAAGAACTAGAGTTCTGCAATATAATGTCACTAAAATGCTGAGTAATAACTGGAAAGTTAAAAGTATTAAATGTGTTTCCTCCATGTGACTTAAAATACTGCTTAGTCAGGCTACAGGCTGGAAAAGTTTTGAAGCCTAGTGTTTTTTTGGAAGTACAGTCCCAATCTCCCCTTCCCATGAGGGGAATATACCCCTAAAATACCCTGCTGAAAAGTGCCACTGATGTGATATCACCATTCTTCAGTGTTCACAAAATTCTCTGATGCCTATGGCCTGAGAAGGCTGGCTTTCTGCTCACTGCATGTGTGAATGCAGCTAATTATAAGCTCTTTGCAACAGAAATCATCTGTATCTCTCTGCCTGCATAGTCTTTGGCACAGCGGGGTCCCATTCTTAGCTGGACTTTAACAAGTACACACTGGAAGGTGTCATATCACAGGTGAATCAGAATGATTCTCTACATCACTGCCACCAGGGGATAACAACATTAACACAGGTATACAACACTGATGAGCCGCAAAATTTCTCTCTGTTCTAACTCAAGATAGGAAAAAAAATAAAAATAAAGAAACTAAAAATTAATTTAGGTAAAATAGATGTGTTTGATATAAACACACAGCTGCTCAACTCATCATTTACATTCTAGGTTGTTACCTTGCAATAATTTCCTTTAACTGAAAGCAAATATTATTAGAATTACCTGGAACTAAAGCCATTTAGATTTTCTCTAATTTTGGCAAACTAATAAAACCAAACCTAATACATTTTATGCAAGTTGAAAGTATACAGTGTTTTAAATAAAATAGTTTGGGGTTTTGTGGGTTTGTTTTTTCACTCTGAAAACACATACACATCTATCACTAGCTCATAAAATTATCCACAGTTGTTTCCAGAACTCTCTTGTGTCTTCTTTTTCTTTTTTATATACTAGTATATTCTTGAATGTCCTTAAAAGGCTTCTTAGTATATTCTCTCTTTCTTAGTGTCAGAAACAGTGACAAGAGACACCTAACTAGCTCAGCTAGAGCATCTGAAAATATACATGAGGAAGTGACTAGTCATTTAAAATGTTGCAAAATTTTACCCTTGACTTTATATACATATATAAATATATATATTTATATAAATTTATGTATCTATAAACATATATATAAAATATATAAAAATATATTTAGAGTGTATAAAGCTTGACTTTATACACTCTAAATACAAAAGACTGTGAACGGTGTTAGCCAGCAACCTGGAAATTCCCCCACAGTAGGAGCATAATCTATGTGATTTAGTGTTAGTATCTTGTGGCTTCAAGAGTGTGTCAACCCTGCAGATTACAGTTTAGTGTTACCAGCAAGTGTCAAAACGCCATCCAGCAGCAACAGAAAGCTCAGTTTAGACTGACAGGCAGGGCAAAGAAACCCACAGCTCATAGAGTCACCTCGGTTACAAATGGGCAAGACTTGAATGAAAGAGGGCAAAGCAGCACACATCTTTGCAAAAGCAGCTGCTTGAAGCTAAGGAAGTCCAGGTACTCTTCAGCAGCTTTTGACTGGTTCTGAGATCATTAGTTAGAGAAGAGAGGTCATGAAGTCACCATGTTTGTGACGACAATACTGGCTAGTCAGTCTGCCAGTCAGCCTTAGCCCAAGGTCACTTAAGACTAGATTCCCTAGTCCTGTATTTTCAGACTGAAAAGATATCGTACAAACAGAGCTACAATATGAAATGCAACCCTTAAAAAAAAAATAAAAAAAATCATCCAACTGCATGTGAAACAGTATGCCTACAGACACATTAGCCTTTACAAATAAATTAAAGAAGAAAAACCTAAGTTGAATTCAAAAGTTTTGCTTTTTTTATTCTGTATGTTTCATTTTTCTCCTTAGGCATCAACTGGAAATTCATTAGCACTGATATAAACCAAACCATTACAGCAGACATTTTCCAGGACATGATTATGTAGCCCAGGGAGGGAGCTTCACCAAGAAGAGAGTTGTGTCCTCATGGCCCATATTATGTTTGCAGAATGAATGGGAAAGAGAAGAAAATAATTTCATATAGGAGTTTTTACTTCTACGCACATGCAGTCTATAAACAGGGGAATCTAAACACATTTTCACAAGTGTTGAAGCACTCCGTGTAGGCTACACAGCTACTTTCTAAACATACGGTGCCACCGCGTGGACAAGTAAGTCTCAAGCAGTTTCTAGATGAGCTTTGCTGAATTTGTGCTCTTGTTACACGAACTCCCCATTCATTTCCTTAGGTCTTACTTGCTATGTCCTGATCCTGTTGATACACGCTGGTGAACTTCCATGGTTCTAGTGATGACCATAACAAACCTGAATCAGTAGTCATTTATTCAAACGTGACCATCTTGGAATACTGGTCAATGTGTTTCTAATTGTGAGGGGCAACAAGAATATTCTATAGGTTTTTATGAAGCTTTGAATACCAGGAAGACTTAAAAAAAAAACAAAAACAAAAACGTAATTTTGAAACCTTATCAGGATTTTCACCTGGTGCAAACGAACAAAAAATTGGAAGTTCTGCCATGCCTAGTACAGATAATTTTCTTTCTTTTGTACACATAAAGGAACATAGATGCTTTTTGTTGAAAACACACTGATCAGACTATAATTGAAAGTTAAATGCCAAAGCTGCTAACCTGTTCCACGGTATCTGGTTGCAGGAATGCAAACAACAGCAGCTTTGTGGGAATCTGCACAACTTCCACCCGGCTGGAAGGAGGCTTTACACCGAGTGCTGGCTGCAAACAAATCAACCAGAGAAAGGAGGCGTCACTGCTGTGAAGGCAAAGGCCTTGATATATTACGGGAACCAAACCCTGTGGCTGAAAGTACAAGGGGAGTGCTGCTGAAGTAACATAACTGAGATGGAAAGCTGTTAATGTGAAAAAAGTGAGTTCTGAGACTAGTTTTGGAACAGCTGAAGCTATTATTTATTCTCATAAGCATTCATGCTTCTGAAGGCAGAGCTGGTCCCTCAGCACTGTCCCTGTAGCTTTGTTTGTCCCTCAGCCCTGGCGCAGCGTTTTTTTCTCCTTAGCCTGCAGACTGGCATGATTTTGTCAGCCACAAAATAGTTGTAACCTATTCATTGAGAAGTTTTTCTGTTTTCTCGCCACTCCCTATTGCCATGGAAATTCACCAGAGCCTGACAGAATGCCTTGAAAATGACATGTATGTGTGTGCACATCTATTACACACAGCCACACACATCTTTTTCTTTCCCCAAAGCCAAGAGCTGTTTACAGCACAGATCAAACACTACTTTCTCCCACAGACCCTTCTGGGACCTGCCCCAGCACTTCAGCACAGCACACCCAGCCACTTCAGCTCTCTCTCTGACTGGGGCCACTGCGGGGGTGGTTGGTCTGCCCTGGCTACAATTCTGAATTTTTACCTTCTTTTTTCTTTGAACCACGTTTTAGGGCTAGGGAGTGTCAGGGAGAAAGGGCCCCCTCGGGGATGAAGGGTCTCCTGAGGGAAAACGGGTCCCCTGAGGGAGTAAGGAGTCCCCTGAGGGAGGAAGGGGTCCCCTGAGGGAGGAAGGGGTCCCTTGAGGGTAAAAGGGTCTCCTGAGGGAAAAGGGGTCCCCTCAGGAAGGGGTCCCTTGAGGGTAAAAGGGTCTCCTCAGGGAAAAAGGGCCCCCGCGGCCACTCTCGGCCCCGGAGCTCGCCGGCCGCCGCCTCACCGCTTTCCGCAGCGGGTTCCGGCACCGCCCGCCTCCCCGCTCGGCGCCGCGGGGCCCAGCACCGCCCGCCCGCCCGTCCCTCCCCGCCGCCGCCGGCCCCCGCCGCGCTCCGCCCCCGCCGGGCGGCCTGCAGCCGCCGGATGGCGCCGGCCCCGGCTGCCGGGGCGTCTCTAAAAGTCTCGGGGCCGATCCCGGCGGGCGCAGAGGGGCTCGGGGTGTTTTGTCGGTAAGCGGAGGGGTGGTCCCGCTGCGCTGCCCCGCACCGGGAGGGGTGTGTGTGTGTGTGTGTGTGTCTCTCGCCTCAGGCTCTGCGTCGTCGCCGGGATGGGGCGGGGGGAACAGGCCGTGACTGTTGCCAGCCGGGTGTAGTGGGGATGGTCCGAGCGTACCGGGAAATAAACCGGCAAAATGTCAAACTGCGAAGCCTTTTGCCCGGCCCTGGCATGGTGGGAACCTTCTCCGGGATGTGTTTCCCCGGGCTGAGGGGGAGGGGTCAAAGACCCCTTTCCTCCTGCGCTTAAATCAACAATGTCTTCATCAATGAATGTCTTCAGTGTCTTCCAGATTACAGTCGTTTCCATTAACCCTCTGGTGTTTGCCCCACGATCGACATCTCACGGGCGAACAAGGCTTTTGGGCCTGTAGTGTTTGTTCGGTGAAGGTAAAGTCCAACCCAGCCCCTTACGTACGGTTGTTTATCAAAGTCAGCATCAGTTAATGACGGAAAGGTTGGATTAGGCTAAACCAAGAGTCATTCTGAGGCTGCTGAAGGGCTGTGTGACAGGCTTGTCTGTAAAAAGAGCTGTCAGCAGAACTGGGGATCCTGAACCGAGAGTGTAGTGCTAGAAACGATGCAGAATTTGTGGAAAGAAAACCATGAAAGGATGTTTTATTCTGCTTCTCCTCTTTTTTATTTTGTCACTCCAGGAGTGTGTCTACCCCCAGATAGGTGGGAAGGCCACTTCCAGTGGTGACTGCCATTATGGGCGTGGTGGAATTTGGGATTTCAGGCCCCACTGTGGCACTGTTAGGTCCGTGCTGTTCTGCTCCAGGGAGAAAGCCAGAGCATGTGGCCCAGACAACACTAAAAAAATTAGTCTCTGTAATGTAGGTGAATCCTGAGACAGTGAGAGAAACCGTAGTTGTACCATTAAATGTGTAAAACAAACAAAAAACCCCAAACCAACCCCCCCCCCCCCCAACCTTAATTCTGTGGGGACTAGCTCTTAACAATTTATTGACATCATAGGAAGTTGTGTGTTTTTGATGGGTCTTCAGTCATCTTCCTGAATGGTTTTGTTACTGTGTTTCTTGGCAGCTTTTTGAATGATTTTTGTATTGCATCCATAGAAGAAGCATTCTCATGTCATCTTCAGAGACTTTATAGCAATGGTGTTTTAGTACTACATATTATTGGCAGATTTAGCTTCATTAATGCATCAGAAAGATATAGCATAATCTGTCATAAATAATCCATAATCAGGCTATTCCCTTTATGTTACTGATGTATTCCAGTTGACGGACTTGTGGTCACTTTGTACAAGCTAATTTAATCATTAGGTCATATTGGTTTTTCCATTTGATAAGGCTTGGATGGGGTTTGAATTGATAGACAGGGTGGTCTTAGAAAAGAGCTGACACGATCGTCATTTTTTAAAGCAGAGTTACTGTTCACAAATGTTCTTCAAGTTATTAAGTTTCAGTGACTACAGAGACTAAACAGTGATTTTAGTAATAGTTTCCTAGGAGGCTAATAATTTTCTGCTCTTGTAAAACTTGCACTGGTATGTTAGTCTATTTGATATGTTTTTTCATGGCCAATGTGATATCTTTCTGTGTTTACTTTTTTTTTTTTTTATTATTTTTTTTATTCCTTTCCCTTTGCTTCAGGTTGAAAAGATGGGAAACGCAGAAAGCAATGCCTATCAGAATCACCTTTCCAGATTTCTTCCTGAGGAGCAGTCTGACATTGATGGAGTATTTGATACCCTATCAGGATTAAGTGGCTCAGCTGGAGCAAAAAATGGCAAAGCTACAAAGAAGACTGTGACTCTGGCAGCACTACAGGCAAGACAATCTATTATTCCTGATATGTCTGGAATGTAGTGTATTGAACATAATTCCAGAAAGAAGCTAAAGTTGTGGTGATAGTTACTTTTTAAGGATTGCTCGTCTTGATTTAATACTTAGTGTTTTGTGGCAGGATGGGTTTTTAATTTTTCTTACAGTTTAACACAAGTAGTGACTTTCAGATTTTTATTTATCTCTGAAATTGCACTGTTGGGTCAGTTTGCAGCTTTACTGATTCTGAAGTAAGTTGGGATGTATGAAAATATTTTTATAGAAACCTGAAAAATGGGGAGAATATTATTCTTCCTGGTGTCTATAGTGTGTGATTATTTACAGATTTTCTTGAGAAACTGGTCACAAAGTCAGTTTATATTTGGTTATATCTTTCTCCCTCGGTTGCATCACCATCTGTAATCTTTTCACTTGCATTAAAAGAAGATAATTCAGTTTTGCTTGATTAAGCTGTGGCTCCCTGTTTTAGCTAATTAACGTTATGCTTTCTGATTAACTTTGCATTCATTTTCTAATCAAGAAAGAAGAGGAAAATGATTCATTGCAATACTTGATAACTTCAGTTAGACAGGAACCAAGTAGCCAAATGAATATAGTATTAAAAGTGCTTTTTTATATATGTTACACAGTTAAAAGAATCAAATTAAAACTCAATGAAAGGAGCAGGTTATTTTAATGTATTTAGCAATGCATCTGCATACAGACCAGCTTTAACCTTTCTCCAGCCTGGCTGTTTATGAGCTATCACCAGTTTGGAAACTGGTGCTGCTGCCCAGCTTTTCAGCCTGCACTGGGTTTGCATGGCAAGGTTTTGGTAGCTGGGGGGCTACAGGGGTGGCTTCTGTGAGAAGCTGCCAGAAGCTTCCCCCGTGTCCAACAGAGCCAATGCAGCTGGCTCCAGGATGCACCAGTCGCTGGCCAAGGCCAAACCCATCAGTGATGGTGGTAGCACCTCTGGGATAATATATTTAAGAAGAGGGTGAAAAAAAACACAACTGCATAACTGCAGCTGGAAAGAGAACTGAGAATATGTGAGAGAGACAACTCTGCAGGCACCAAGGTCAGTGAAGAAGGAGGTCAGGAGGTGCTCCAGGTGCCAGAGCAGAGATTCCCCTGCAGCCTGCGGTGCAGCCCATGGTAAGGCAGGCTGTGCCCTGTGCCCACGGGGGTGCACGGTGGAGCAGATCCCCACCTGCAGCCCAGGGAGGACCCCACGCCGGAGCAGGGGGGTGCCCACAGGAGGCTGTGACCCTGTGGGAAGCCCTCGCTGGAGCAGGCTCCTGGCAGGACCTGCGGACCCGTGGAGAGAGGAGCCCACACTGGGAATGGTTTGCTGGCAGGATCTGTGACCCTCTGGGGGACCCACGCTGGAACAGTCTGTTCCTGAGGGACTGCACCCCGTGGGAGGGACCCACACTGGAGCAGTTCATGAAGAGCTGCAGCCCATCGAAGGACTCATGTTAGAGAAGTTTGTAGAGGACTGTCTCCCGTGGGAGGGACCCCACGCTGGAGCAAGGGAAGAGTGTGAGGAGTCCTCCCCCAGGAGGAAGGAGCAGCAGAGACAACAGGTGATGGACTGACCAGAGCCCCCATTCCCTGCCCCCCTGCACCGCTGGGGGGTAGGAGGGAGAGAAAATCGTGAGTAAAGTTGAGCCCAGGAAGAAGGGAGGGATAGGGTGAAGGTGTTTTTTAAGATTTGGTTTTATTTCTCATTATCCTATTCTGATTTGATTGGTAATAAATTAAATTAATTTCCCCCAAGTCGAGTCTCTTTTGTCTGTGACCAGAGTTGGTGAATGATCTCTCCCTGCCCTTATCTCGACCCATGAGCCTTTTGTTTTATTTTTCTCTCCCCTGTCCAGCCAAGGAGTGGAGTGATAGAGCAGCTTTGGTGGGACCTGGTGTCCAGCCAGGGTCAACCCACCACACAGCCCTAATACATCCATAGACCTGGTTATTGGTGTCTGTTATTTGATCGAGACCTCGAAGAAGTTCTCTTTCTAGCTTTGCCCCTAGATCAGTGTGATGCTTGATGAACATTTGTCTTTTCCCTTCCTGCCTTTTTGTTTGCCAACATAAAATCTTTTGAAAGGCTGCCAGTAGGTGCCTAATCCCTTAGTGCAGGGACTGCTGCAGTGGCATGCCTGCCTCATAGGTGTCTGCCCGTGCCTGAGCTAGATTGATACGTGGCAAATTTGATCTGTCAACAGTCCAGTAACGTTGATGAGGCCCACGCATAACCTCATGTACTCTGCTTAGGCTCAGTGCTTTACTAGAAGGAAACTACGTGGCTTCTGGATCAGAGCAGGCTCCACTGCATAGTTTGTAAAGCAGGTAGAGCAGGTATCTCTAGATACTTTGCTGAAACCATTTAAGACATGGAATCTAAACTGTCAGAGGTGTGGGTTTGTTAGATGTTCATTAAAGATTCTCTTTTTGCAGTCCTTTTTTGCACCCCAGGTCTACTCACTGAAATAGCTATAAGCCTAACAAAACTGCAACAAAGTTAGTGATGGGTGGGAAATGGTAGGGAGTAGGTAGGTAATACTGCAGTGTGAAGTAAAAAGCCCTTGAGTATAATGTTTTTAATTATGTACCCTGCTGCTTGTCTCACTTCAGGCTCACGTAGCACTTTTAGAAAACCTCTTAAAGAGAGCTGTACCCCTTTTGATCATCCCTCCCTCACTGTGAAGCACTCTAATGTGGGAGACTGTGGCTGATAGTTCTGCTTCTACTGAAATCAATGGGAGTTTTACCACTGACGTCAACAAAAGCAGGGTAGAGCTTGGCATATTGGATCTCGCCCTATATACACAGCAACAGCCATTAACATCAAATAGGAACAGCCCTGCTGGCTTCAGTAGGAGTGGTGGTGAGCCAGCAATAGATTGGTAATAGCAGCTCCACTGAATAGAGCTGGAGTGCTTTTACACAGGTGGAGCTCCACTGATTGCAGCACAGTCCCCACTGGGCTACACCCCTGTATATAAGAGTCAAGTCAAGTGTTCAGCAAGTTATGCACAATGCTTTGCACAGTGAAGACGCTGTGTAATCATGTCCTAGTGTATGGATGTATTTTAGATTATTTGTTTTTAAACCGTGTAATTATCTTGAACACTGTGAAAGCTTCTGGAATCCAGAATCAGATCTTTCCCGTGGTGTTGTGATATATGATGATCTATACCGGTTAGATTTCAATTCAGAAGGCCAGTCATGCAAGTTAGATGAATAGGTTTTGATTTTGACTCTCTTAACATCAGGGGTGCCTCATAAAAATCAGGTGATCTCAGTTTTGTTCCATGATTGAGTTAGATGTTGCTATGCAAAAGAAAACTTCTCAGAATTGTTTCTACATGTGCATGTAGGGTTAAACACATTGCCTGTATTGTCTTGAGGCCAAAACCAAGATATGGAAAAAATTTTACTTTTTCTTCATTTTTAAGTATTGCTATCAAAAGCAGAGTTAAAGCACAACTTTAAATGTTGGACTGGCAGAGATGTAAACCTTTACAAAAGAGTTATCATATAGAAACCTTCTGCTAATATCCTGTTAACACTTTACAGTGTTGAGGTTTTTTTAAACTCCATGGCATTTGTAGAAAAACAGTATCAAATCACTAAATAGTATTGGAAAGGAGCTACTATAAAAATAGAGATTTTTTTTTTTTTTCTTGGAAAACCAGTCATTTCACAAAAGTTTGTTGCTGATGGTAGGTATTTGGTATTGAAATCCTTCATTCACAGTGGTATACCTCAACGCAGGTTAGCTGGAATTTATTAGTTATTCTTCATTTGTAAAACATATTCTTTGCTCTTTTTCTCATTGTAGGTGTATATGCGGGAGCCGCTACCAGAGCAAATGGTTGGCCGGTTATACAACGGAATGAAAAGTATTGACCTGGCTGGGAAGTCATCAGGGCCAAGTGAACAGATTACTAAGGAGCAGTTTGTAATTTTTATGTCAGACCTCCTAAAAGGGAATGCAGATGAGAAGATTGCCATAATAATGAGATTGATCTCCAAGGCAGAAGGGCCTGTGAAGGGCAGACAAATCCAAGAGGTAAACAGGCAGTTGTCTGTTGGGGTAGGTAATTTGAAGGTAATCTTTAGAGCACAAGATTCAGAACAGGGATTCCTGACTTTCATGGTTTTTTATTCTCTTTACCACTAACTTGCTGATCTGGGACAAACAATGTAGACAAACCAGGTTGTCTGGGGTGACCATTTTATTTAAGAAATGCCAAAATAGTGATGTTTTAACCTTTTAAGTTCACAGAGGATCTGATCATGTCTGTAGTCCACGTACTGAGCTACAGGAAGGAACTGAAAGGTTGGAATTTGGAGAGTACTAGGGATTCTGCAAGTGGAGCAAAGGCTCTGGCTTCTCAGCTGCTATCAGAATTGAAGCTTGCAGGTAAGCAGCACTGATGTAGTATATCCCAGAATGGCACAGAGCTCATGTAATCACTGATCTCACAAGAAGTTTTCTCTTCAGGTCACATCTTTGAATTTAAATGGCAAGACCAGTATTTCAAACCTAGTGTTTTGTGAATTACTTGGGAATTTTATTTGTTTTACCTTGCCATCTCTCTCTCCTAAATTCAGGAGAGCTTTGGTTTGAGGTCCAAATTTAAATAGACATGAAAAGTTATTTGTCATCAAACATGTCTATTTTACAAATACCTGACTTGCAGGTGGTAGCCATTTAGATGAATGTGCATCTATTTATGACCGTACGTCCTTTTACAAAACACAGCTTTATCTTTGCACTGTTGTAATAATAGATTTTTCTGTTTTGAAAAAAACAACTCATAAGTTGTAACTAGGAGTCCACGCTTCTTAATCATGACAGCCCAACCAATGGATGTCACAGGCAAATGTTTCTCAGCTCTGTGCATGTATCTGCTTAATGCAGTTGACAGTTTACTGTTGCTGGCTCCTTTCATGTGTGGTTTCATGTCCATTAAAATAATGGAATATTGTGTTTACACTTAAAAATTGACTAATTATTTTCCAGACTGGGAGACTTACTACTCTTCTTGTGTGTCTTATTATTTAGATGGGACAAAAGCTGTGGGTCCTCAGCTGATGGAGACAAATTTTGATCAAAATGTCATTGAGGATTGGGTATATCGAGTTCCACAGATCTCAATTTTCCTCAGTGTTGTTATCAGGCAAGGCCTCCATGTTCTGCATTCTCTCCCAGACCAAACCAAAGACATACTCAACCTGGTTCCAAGCTGCAAAGGCATCAAAAGAAGAGGACTTGTCAGTCTCTTTGACATCCCATCCATCATATACATCAACTCCCATCTGCCTGCAGAGCTACAGCACAAGTGGCAGCTTTTGTTTTCTTCTAGGCTTCATGGAGAAAGCTTTTCACAGTTATGTGGGCATATAGTAAACAAAGGTCCTTGCCTAGTGATCTTACAGGACTTAGATGGTTATATCTTTGGTGGGTTTGCATCTCACTCCTGGGAGGTGAAGCCACAGTTTCAAGGTAAAACTCACTTTTCTTTTTCTAGTATGTCATGGCCCTGGTAAACATTGCCTATTCTGTACAGGTACAAGAATCCTGTCCACTTAATGGATACTGTCATTTTACTTTCATGACACACAGTATTTCTTGTACTTCCAAGTATATTTTCCTGTGGCAAAAATAAAATGTATTTTATTTTTAATATATTTTATACATTTTATTTTTGTATATTTTCAAAAAATATAACAATACATGCCAAGTTATTCCTGCTTTGTACCCAGTCTGGCATGTTACTGAGTAATGTTTATAGTTCGTCTGTTATTTGATAAGACTTTTAAAATTGCAGGACTTATTGATCAAGGAACAAGTTTTCTTTTCAGTGAAATCTGTCAGCACCTGTAGCTGTATAGGTTGAAAATGAAATGAAAATGAAGGAAATACAGCAGAGGTGATGAATTAGAGTTTAAAGAGGCTGTCCAGCAGGTGGCAATCTTCCATCTCAGAACAGCTGAGCCAAACACCAGGTGACGCCTCCTGTTGCCATTTGTACACACTGTCTTTGTTTCCCTTTTAAAATCCAGCAGCAAAAGGGTCCTTTGGGCAGGTTAAACCTTTTGTTCCCTTGAAACCTCTGGGAAAGGAGAGGGGTTTTTTGTAATTCTTTGGAAAGAACTTCTGTGATGTCTGTCCAAAAAAAAGAAATGATGGACTGGATAATCTGTCTTGCTGAAAATCCTCACATTTAAAACTCAATTCCTGTGTTTAATTAGTATTTGATAATTACCACTTCAGTCAGTTAACATAAAGTTATGTTACACTGATTACACAACACTTTCTTTGTATTTTTTCCTGGTAGAATAACACATATAGCATACTAGACAATCACACCACAGGTCCCTCTGAATACCAAACTGGACATAATGAAAACTGTACTCTAAATCATTGGCACTAAACTGATCTGTGTGTCAATATAGTCAGAACTGAGGGTGTCTGCACTCCTATCAGTTTGTACAGTCCAGTGGTTGGCCAGTTTTAGATGATACAATGCAGGCCTGTGATAGGTGTGCCCTTACATAGTAATGTAACATAGTAGTCATGCCTCTGACTCTGCCCTTGGTCACAGCCATATAATCACATTGATTTCTGTGACCCTGCACAGAGTTAACTGAGAATAAACAATAGGTCTAGATCTTGATGAGAGATAGGTATTGGCTTTCTGAGATTGCAGCTGCTGTTTTTCATTTATTCAGCTGCACTTCTTCAATACTTTTTTCCTATCCTATTTGTAGTCAAGTTATTGCTTGGCCAGTTGTCTGACCTCAGATACTTTTCTGTTTACAGGTGACAACAGATGCTTTCTGTTTTCTGTTTTCCCTTCTCTTGCTGTATACACATACACAGGGTATAATGACCACTACATGTATTTGAACCATGGCCAACAAACAATGCCAAATGGACTTGTAAGTATTAAGAAATTAAATTTGGAAATTGGATTCGTGGCTGGTATTCAGAAGTGTTTTGTGTTTTTCACTTCTTTTACTGTGAGCAGATTTATTTCACTTATTCACCGAGGAAGTTTTCTGACCCAAGTAGGTGGGCTTTATGTAGGTTAGATGAGATTTATGGAGGTTCTGGGAAGAAATCTTTTTGCCAAGTTTGGTTATCACGCAAGCCCTTCTAGCAGTCCTTCCTGTTGTCTGGAATAATTGCCTGCGTGTACCCACATTACTGAAGCAGCACAAGCTAGCTGATATATGTAATTGAGGATCCTTCCACTGGCTATTCTCACTGTCACACTAACTGCTTTTTGAATTATGGAAGGCTGAGAAAGCCTAGCAGACTTAGAGTACAAGAATTGCATGTAGGTTGAGTTCTCCAGATACAGAGGAGTTTCTACAGAGCTACAACACATAGCCTATTTTGAAAAGTGCCTTACAGTTTTGTGGCATTATGTGCCCATAACTTTGGGAATGCCAGCAGTCTGGATTAAATTTGCTCTAAAGAAAGCAAACAACAGCAAATTACATTATTTGTTTGTGTACTTTTCTAAATGGAAAAAAGGCAGCAAAACTGAGCACTTTCACCCCGTTTAAAATTGAACTGTTAGTCAATAAACAAAAGCCAATGAGTTGAATTTGTGGCATAAGACGCGGCTGAAGTACTTGCAGATACTGATATTCTGTAAAGTGTAGATGGAGGGCAGTATCACTCAGGTAAATTCTTGTTTGTCTTCAGGAAAACTGGATGTTGGTACAGAAACCCAAGTTCACTCAGAATACCCTTTTTCACCTACCCATAGAAGTGTGCCATAAATACAGAAAATAACAATTTATATTATAGGTTTCATAACTTGCCCGGTCTGTTTTACATGCACAGCAAGTGTTTAGTGTGCTGCTTTGCTTCACAGGGTATGGGCGGACAGCACGAGTACTTCGGGCTCTGGATAGACAGTGACTTTGGGAAGGGACACAGTAAAGCAAAACCTCGATGTACCACTTACAACAGTCCCCAGCTGTCTGCGAAGGAGGATTTTGCACTGGATGCCATGGAAGTTTGGGCAGTGGGAGACCTCCCTGAAGGTGCAGGGGTAAGTGAACCTGCGAAATTGTGTCCTGATGGGAACAGAAAATTTGAACACAAAACTTACAGTTGCAGTTTTCTGATCAAATGCTGTCTCTCCATTGTAATGAATAACGTTTTCTTTAACTGGCCCTGTGGTGCCATACATAGTGGAATTATTGAGGGTGCCAACAAGGAAGAACATGAGGAGCCGTGAGGTGATAGTCAGAAGAACAGTACTTCATGCTGAATTTCAAAAGGCCTTTCTGATATTGAGGAATGGTCTCCAGGAGGAACCTCCTTGGAGGGGTTCAGTAAAACCCAGTGTTTGTAAAAGAGAAAGCAAGCACTGGAAGCTCACAAGTAAAGCCTAATCTATAGTTCAGGAAGAGAATCCAGAAGATTTCTTTATCAGTAACTTTAAATTTACAGTTGTTTTACAGTAAATTTTTATGAACAGATTTATGCTAGTCTTTCTGCACTTGGTATATTTCTGGGAATGAGCAGGAGACCTCTTTCCAGTCTCCTCTGTCCCTGTAATTTATTCTCTTATTAAAGTGTCTGGTCTGGCACAGTTTGGTGGTGTGTTTTTTTTTTTTTTAATTTTTATTTCTTTTCATACTAAATTCATGTGCCCTGTCTGCTTACTGGACACATAGCCCTCAAGAGAAACAGAACAAATTGTTTACAAAAAATGCTGAGTTCTACTTGAATTTCTTCTTCTTCAAAAAAAGTTCACATCTACACTTCATACTGAGCTCAAGTTAACCAGGCTGTTCTGGCTGACCTGTAACCTGAATAAACTTGAAATAGTCCGTTGTCATCTTAGGAAAAGTTTATGGCTATTTTGTGTAACTGCAGAAATAAAAATCATTTGAGGTATCCCAGTAAGTCTTAAATGCTTTACTTGGAAGGTACGTATGAGTCATTGTGACAAGCTTACAAGCCAGATTACTTGTGGACTTTCAAGTATGTCCCTTTCGTGTAAGCCTGATATTGATTCATTCATAATGACCTTTTAAACTGATGATGTTTTATTCTGTTTTGAAGATAAAAGGTAAGAAGAGCATCCTGGATGTAGATCCTGAGGCTCAGGCCTTATTAGAAATGGTTGGAAAACCTCGTCAGAGCGCAGGTCTACGAGAACCCATTGAAGAGGACGATGATGATGATAACTAAAAGAATCACAGTAACATAAAAAAACTTTTTTTTTTTTTTTTCCTGCACCTGAGTGTTTATGTTCCTTGGATAGGATATTTTTTCCTCATTTTTTTTCCTTACATTTACCTAATTTTCAGGGGCAAAGCTTAAGCCTCATACTTATGTAATATTTAGGTCCAATACAGTATCCTGCCTGATAGGTTTTGTTTGGGGACAACAGAAAAATTAACTAGGTCCTTAATCATTAGACATCTCTAAGTTCTAGCCGAATATGAATTTGCTAGCATTCCTGATAAATCCTGCCGGCATACAGAATTAAAACCAAAAGAAGTTATTGACAGTAGGTCTTACTGACTTGGGAAATTGATGTGTATTTATGTAAAGACTGTTCAAGACACTGATTAAGGCTTATACCTCAACTGCACATATTTATTTGCATGCAATGAAATTAGTCAGCGAAGCTTGTAAATTGTAATGATGTCTTACACTGGTAAACATAGAATAGTCCACGTGATTCCATATGAAAGATGCTATTAATTTGCATTGCTTCAGTTAAAGCATTAAATTTCATGTTTTCTAAGTCAGATTTTTCAGCAACTGACTATATGGGCTGTAAGATGTCCAGACCAGCATCCAGTTTTATAATACTACACTATTCCTTAGTGCATTTCACTTAAGATGTTTCAGCATAAATTTGTCTATTGCTTTTTAAACTTAGTAGGACAGAGCCATTGGAGTCATTTGGCCATATTTAGCCTAAGAATGGGCCATACCCCCAGCAGAAATTCTCTAGGGAAGGTACCTTCTTCAGTAGCCTCACTTGAGACTGGAGCAAAAGATCAGGCTTTAAAAAGGATTAAGAAGTGTCCTCAGTTAATTTGGAATAGTATCTGGAGATACCTTGTAAAAAAAAAAAAAAAAAAAAAATTAGGGTTATGTCTGTAGCATGTTTAAGGAAGGCTACTGTGCACTTCTTTTCCACGTAACGAATCATTACTGTATTATGGAAAAAACCACCCACAGTGTGAAACGTAACTAGTTGGTTGGGGTTTTTGCTGTTTTGTTGGCTGTTCACCAGTCAACACCAGTTTTGTCAGGTCTCTTACACTCAGGGCTTTTTCTACTTGAATCCGTTCGCGTTTGTTAGTAATTATTAGTTTGACCTAGCTAATTCTATGTATAATTAACTTGTCAAAAATAACCCTAATTTCTACCAGGGACTCTCATTTCTAACTCAGCAAACTGTATTTGGTTGTTAGTATGTATGACTGTCAGTCTTTCTCCTCTTAAGGAAGAGGACTGGATCAAAGCCCCTTTGTCCTAGCATGAGTTCATCTTCCATGCAGGTTAGAGCAAAAAATGTCTTGTACCTTCTATAAAACTACTGCGATTCCTGGTCATGTGGCTTTCCTTCAATGCTTTTCCTTAACATCTTCTTGTATGTGGTCTTTTTTTTTTGCCATGTGATGTTTTTCATAGGGAGCCAGATTTGAATATTCTGAATAATCTGCACTTGTGCCTTAATGTAGATCCCATTTTTTAAAATTTTGTTAAACAGTATGAATTTAGCCTTGAAAGGAGAGCATGAAGAAATCACTCCAGCCAGACAGCCTAGGACTCAACTGTGCATTCTGTATGCTGCCTGAACTTGTGATTTGGCATATATGCTGTCTGTTCCAGTATGGAGTATGCTGTGAAAGGCCTGAGCTAATGCACTTTTATCTTGTATTTGCTTAGATGAACCAGATAGTCTCCCAAGTTTGTAACACATAGAAAAAAATGTAAGCATTAAAACAATTACACTGATACTTTTGTATAATTTTTTTCTCTGTATATTTTAATAAGAAATTTAAATGGTACAAAGTAGGGAGTGCTATGTAGACAGCAAGTACATGATGCTCTCTAAGTGTGGTGATGCTGGCTTCTATTTTAGCATTCTCAGACTCTCACTGTAAGTCCTAGAGGTATTCTTCCCTTAGGCACTGACTAAGTATACTAAATACTTGAAGTGGATGGCATACAGGAATGAGATATAGTTGAATTTCTGCAGTTACACATAGAATAAGCAAATAGACTTTCTTTTCTTCCCATTACAAGGCAGAGACTTTTCTCTGAGGACTGCAAGGATTTAAAGAACATAGTGAGCAGACACCTTTGCAGACTATGTCTGGGGAGGGTAAATTGCACAAAGCTACTCTTCACCAAAAATATTTCAGTGGCCATGTTTTCACTGATTTAAAGTAAGTATCAGTATAGCTGGTTCTTTCTAGGCTGTGAATCCAAAATGTAATCCTGTCTAAACATCATCATCACATTTTGACCTCTGAAATTCTGTTTTTTGACAAGTCTGTATCTGAGATTCTTCATCTTCACTTTGAAGTGAGTGTGTTAAGCTGGGGCAAGAAAACTGACGCTATGGCACTTTTAGCAAATGTATCAGTGAAGCATTATTTACTAGGACACTACTGATGCAACCAGCAGATGGGGTTGTTCAAAACTGTTCTTTAAATGTAAGCGATTGGCTTGGAAAAGATTCAACTCTTTTTTTTTTTTTTCCTAATGATTAAGCAATCTGTGCTTTGTGTTCATGCATCTAAAAATGTCCAGAAAGTATTTGTTAGCAGTGGGCTTAGCTATGATCTAAACATCTCTCAGTCAGTTTTATGCAGCTGTTGATCCAACTGCAAAGCTTACCATCCCTACTAGGTACGAGTCATCTTTATTTTCATGTGCTTGTGAAAGTGAGTCCCTTCCCCATTAAATCCATCCACTACTGTGCATCAGATCAGATCAACCTTCTGCTTTGCTACTATTAGTCACATATGTACAAAAAAAAAAAAAAAATCACTGCAGAGTCCAGCAAAAGCTGACAGAGTGCAGAGCCGAACTGCCAACTCTCAGCTGTGTTTGACATCTCCCCACAGTTTCCTTGAGAGTCTTGCTGAATAATGACTAGATATCTGGGAATCTAGAAGCACTATAGATTGATTATAGGAAAAGAAGTGCTAGTGAAGGCAGGTCTTTTCCCTTCTTCTAATTTAATATAAAAGGATGGGCCTAAATCAAGAGTCTCATTCAGATACTTGTTAGTAACATTTTAAAATGTAGATTTTATTAATAAAAATCATTTTGATTTAAATAAATAAAATTTCAGTTTATGCACAATAGATTTTTCTGTACAGGTGCAAAACTCTCTTATTTTGTCTGGGACTATCTCAGCATTCTTGACATAAAGATCAATGTTATAAAAATATACCTGATCTTGGTTCAAAACAGAAGCTGCTCCGGTGGTTTCTGTAGACAGCTCAAACAGCTTAGGTAGAGCGTGTGGAAGGAAGAGATGCTGGCGTAAGGAGGACTGTAGGCACAGGTTCATTTGAGTATCTTCAGAAAGGATGTGTGGCATCAGAAAATGGCGCTTTCGAATTATCCAGCATCACAGCTCCGTTCCAAGCGTATCTTTAGAGGAAGTTTGCATCAGTTACGACATCCCTTCGCCTGCTTCGGGCGGCAGCAGTGTTTTTCACAGAGTTTGACGAACTCGGACACAATAAAAACAGAGGAAGCCAGTCCGGTGAGAAACAGCAGGTCTGCGAGGGGAAACGGAGCGGAGATGAGCACAGCGGCCGGCTGGATTCTGTGCTGGGCAGGAACCCCCAGCTATGGGTCCTCCTGCAGTAGGCACTTGTGCTGGTGTAACTCCATAGGAGAACGGCCTAGCTATGCTTTTGCTAGCTGTAGAATTAGAGAAATGACTGCGGTAGACAAGGAATACCTACCATAGGTGGTACAGTCCACTTAATGGGTGGGAAGCTTTATGTTAATTATTTGGGATGACTGAACCCTGCTCCTGGCAGCATGCCTCATGGAGGTGCAGTACAGTGCAGTGTGGTAGCATTTGCTTAGAGTGATTCAGGTGGTAAAATATGCATTGCCTTTCAGCTGGGCAGTGTGCACCCTGCTTCTTCAAAGTGGAGTGACTGCATAATGATCCTGGATAGATTTATGTAGACAAATATCATAGGGAGCTCGTGGGAAATCTTGGCATGTCTCCATTTACATGAATTTATGTGCAGTAAATCAAAATTCAAAACCTGAGCTAGGATAATATCTTTACATTCTGCTACTCTTTGTGTATAGCTGTGTGTATGTATAGGTACAGGAGCTGTTGGTTGACTTTCCCTACCAGCAATCTGTTGGGAGCTATCACGTAACAATTTGGCAACCATTTCATCTGCTTTTTAAAGTAGATTTAATGAAAAATAGACATTATTTATTTTGCAACTTACCTAGCACTCCTAAATTCTCTGTCTGGAAGATCTTTTGCAATGGAGGGACGTATATAACAGCCAGCTGTCCCAAAAATGACCCAAGCACAGAATACAAGAACATGCGGTTTCGAAAAAAGCCTATTTCGAATATCAGCTTTGTCTAGAGAAGGGGGTGGGGGGGAAAAAAAAAAAAAAAAAAAAAAAGAGAAATGTAACATTTTCCAATCTCCTGTTGGAACTTGAATGTCAGACTGTTTCTTTGCATGTAAACTCCATTACATTTTGAAGTTACATGAATGCCAACTTAGGCAGAACTACATAGTTGAAAGTGTAGTTGGAGTTGAACTATGATGGATAACTTTATAAATAAAGATTATAAGAACTGTGCTGCTTTAAATGACATTTCAAAGCCCCTTCCTATGCAAAATACTAATGTTCTAATGTTTATGTTAGCTTTTTGCTGACAGAGCGATCTCACCTGAGAGCGGCATGTCAGGGCATTGAAGAGGTCAAAAAACACAAAACAGGTAAAAGTCATTGTTGTGGTTCGAGGGGTTATGCCACTTTTTGGATTCTGAAAGCACATGTGAAAATTCAGGGGTTGGTTAAGCTTTGCAAAAATATGTCAATTCAACAGATTAATTAAATATTCCCTTTAATGATCCCAGTCAATTCAAAGGATAATAAAACAAAGGAATAAAACTAATTCTAACCATTATAGATAGCATTAATTTCTCTCTGCTAATTGTTGACATTATGATCTTATCAACCCTGTTTTAAACCAATGTGGGATTTGAATAAAGAGTATTCTAAATTAAATTACTTAAACTGTTATAGTAGCAGTCACTATTTATTAACAGCAATCCATAGTACTAATGTACTTGGTATTTTCTACTTACATAGAAATCTAGAGGTGAAAAGCACCTTAAAAGCATTGATATATCAGGTAATAGATTTCCCATTCTAGATAGGAAGCTCCAAGTTAGAGACAACACAGGAAGGCAGAGGCAGAGCTAGGAGCTGAACCTGGTTTTGTAACTCCCTTCCCCACTGGACGTATTTCAGAAAGTCCACACGTACTTCCAAAATTGCCCTTCACATTGTTCTCCACCCTGAGGTAAACAAGATACGATTGCAGATTTTCCTCACCTCCTTCCAGAAGACAAAGAGGGTTCCACTGATGATAATTATAGCTGACATGAAGATTTTCAGGATCAAAGATCTGCTGAGTATAGTATCCGTGATACATCGGGGTGGTTGTTTGATAGTATCCCTATCAACAGGTTCAACTCCCAAGCTGCCTCAAAGAGAAGCAGAGAGATGTGTTTAGTTAATTCTTTGAAGTACGGCGTGAGAGATATCAGTATTCTGGCAGGGTTACACAAGGCCCCGAGTGTATCTGAGACACCTATGACAAAGGTCTTTTTTGCATAATGAGCTGTGAAAATGATATATTAGACTATTGTGCATCATACTGGTATCCCATCCCAGAGGGAGAGCTAGCTGTGAGACTGCGGCCAGCATTTCTTCCATGTTGTGAAAGTAGTAATTGTAATTAGCAGCAGTGGTAATCAGCAGGAGGATAAGGATCGCAAGTCATGCGATTCCGGGGTATAGACCCCTGTATATACCCGGTATTCCCTTGCCAGTCAGACCTGCAGGGCTGCTAGCAGGTGATGCACCCAGAATAACAGACCTTTCCAAGTCAAAAAGTGGAACAGCTGTTAGGCGATTCCACCACAGAACAGAAACACATAAAACCTCAAGTCAACCTAAAGAAAATGCTCTTGGAGGGACCGGGAGGACACAGAAGTACAGCTTGTCTTATCTAACCACCAAATGCATTGATAAGAAATCATAACAGCTTGTGTTTCTAAGCCAAATTCAGACATATTAAAACCAAGAATATTTTGCTCATTTGACTCTTCCATACCTCTGGGCTGGTGGCCCATCCATGATGATGTTGATCCATAAGATCTGCATAGCGTTGAGTGGATTTGGTAGGTTGAGCACTGTTGACAGAGTAATTAGGCTCAAAGCTGAAATGCTCCTGCAAAGCACAGAAGAACATTATTCTGCACGGCCTCACCCAAAAGGTGCTTTCACTGCAATCAAAGAAAACAGGAACTTACGTGCTCAACTGGAACCGGACAAAATTTTTTATGTTGTAAAATATTCCTTTTCCCTCTTCTATTGCATTCCTGGAAGAGAGAGGAGAGTTTATTGAATGACTATTACTGACCCTATTTCACATTGAGCTTCCATGTGACACTCAAAATACAAGTTGTCTTCTCTAGCACTTATTTCAGTTGAAATTCAGATCCCAGCTTAGGAGGAGGACACCAGTGCAGCTTCTCAGTTAAAATTACTTTATCAGAACTAGTAGATCTGAAAATCTGGTTCATACGGCCAGGTTTTGGTTCACAAAGCAGGCGTGTGACCTATTTATATCCTCACTTTACTCTGCCTACTCTGTCCCTTGTTACAAACCAACAGAGCATTGCAAATTATCTTAACTCTGAGCTTCCTGGATGAGG